TAAAAAATATTACTTCCTCCGCCAGTGTCAAAAACGTCTTATATTATGGGACGGAGGAGTAGCAAGTGGTTTCGGATCTTCCAAGTGCTGTTCCGTACAAATTTGCTAAAGAAATATCTCCCAGTGTACCACATCACCCAAACTTTCGAATGCGACACCGCAAGTGGTCGATCACGATCACGATCACCCCGGTCTGAAAAGAACATAAAACAGTGAGCTCCCTCCCATGGATCATCAACCACCCATCGCTGCAGGAACGCAAGATCTACCATTCCACCCTGACGCCTTAAAACAAAGATATGTAGTCTGTCGGCAAGGACTGCTTCCCTGGAATCGAGTCTCAATCGCCCGTCTCGCTTTCGATCGACAGGAAGGATAGATCAAACTCAGCCTGTTTCCTCGACGCGTGCCAGCCGCGCGAATCGGACACCGCGTCTCCTGGTGCCTGGCCGGCGGACCGCCCGCGGGATGTACACGGCGAGGGGAAACGTGGCGAGGGGTTAACGTCAAACAAAGCCCGTACGTGCTCGCACGGAGATGTAATCCTGACTGGACCGAGCGCTGATCCTGTACACGTACACAACAGCTCAGCTTTCGACAGATTCATGGTGTTGAAATTTAGCCAACCGCCAGAGAAAAATAATCGTGCACCCCTGACGGTGGTGAAGCAATTAGTCAGCTAGTTGAAAATTTCGCCAACAGCTCAGCTTCGTTGCACCCGCAAAAAAAAAAAAAAAAACTCAGCTTCGTTGCAACACTACCACGTAGAGTACTCCTCTAGCTGCGCTAAACTTGTCAAAGAGTCGGCAAAAGTTTAAGATGTCGTTTCCTTTGGGCTTTGGCTATATATGCATTGCTTGATACTCTCCTAGCTCATAGTACGTCTCCACCGCGAGAAAAGAAAGTTCGTAGTACGTTGGTATCCAAGAAGAAACAAAGTAGAGTTCAAAACATAGCCACCACAAAATAAGATGACTTGCCGGCAGGACAAAGTGGGAGATCCAATCCAAGTTGTAAGAACACTAGATATCTGAACTAAAATATAAGAACACAAGATACAATGCGGACTGCTGACTCCTGTAGGTTTGAGGACCTATGAAATCCCAAGCGTTGGTTCGGCTGAAGAAAGAGGCTCTCCATCTGTCTGCAACCGCGACACTTGTCAAGCTGACGTGGCTAAAGCACTTCCATCAAGATTGCAGTCGCAAAAACGCGCCAAACGATATAGGTTCATCCACTGTGTAACCTATTTTATTATCCAGTTAACCTGAACCATCATTATTCTAGATGGACAGGCCTACGCCGCTGGTTTAAGTTAAGATATCGTTGCATTTGGCATCCGCAACAAACTTGCCGCATGACACAACGGAGAACCGGCCAAGAGGCTACATAGAGCACCAATATATGGCCTCGGATTCGACACAACCCTTTACACTCCTTTCCGTTTTCGGCATGACTTCAGATCAGCAGAGGACTAACTGCGTTGGATACGATGCTGACTGGCGACTCCTTAGATTTTAGGGCCTACCACAATCTAACTGTTCTTTGCGTCATGTTGAAGATATAGGAGTACTCTTCAAAGTTCAAACTGTCCGCTGGATTACACTCCACTTTCAAAAGAAAAAAGTGGAAGCAGAAAGCAACAAAGCACAGCTTTGGGAAACACCAGCACCTTGGAACTTCTTTTCTTCGCTTCTTGACTTGCTCGTTGCTTTGCTTATGCCCCAGTGACAAAGAATCTAGTTGTTTATGATCAAGATGGACGAGTTGATATTTGGAACATGACAAGAATCCCTAAAGTAGGAGTGTAACGCAAACTGAAATCTATATTGGCTGAAAAACGGATGTGATGGTAGTTGTATCTAATAATAAATTGTACCTAAGCATTCAACAGTTAGGAAAAGCCAATAAGCATGAATTGGCCGAAGCGGTTATGATCACTGCAGGTGACCAAAATTAGCCACCTGACAACACAGGGTACCGACATGGAGCTCGGTACTGAAAAACTTCTGGGGCATTGGGGTTACCAGCCCGTTGATTCATTTTTTACGCTGAAGTATGCCCCATGATAGATGGACTGCTAACTAAACTACCGCACGCCCCGAAAGACCAAAAACAGCTGAATCCACGTGCATAAGTATTTAGGACAACATCCACACTGGGACTACACACACACTGAAAGAAGTAATACTACTGCTGCTGCTATTCGCTGAAGCTATGTGCAATACAAGAGCATTTCATTTGCCTATAATTAACTTCTCAATAAACTCCAGATTATAACTCAGCTACTACTTCCCCGCAAAAAAAAAAAAATAACCCAGCTACTACTCATCAAGTCTTCAAACGATAAAAGATATCATCTGTGTTTATATGACCTTGATGGTACAACCCCATATAGCCGAGGGCATTTGATACTACATCGCAGACAGCAAGATCCAAAGTCCATTTGAATTTCAGTGCCTCTATGTTCAGATTTGGTGGGAACGGCTGAGTTCAATGGTCCGTCAGAGGGGCAATGAATGTCCTACTTGTAAGACAGCAAGGCAATGCCACATATGCGCAATTCAGGATAGATAACGGGGACCGAAAATATACTCATATCGTTAATGCAACAGGATAGCACCATAAGTCCAAATTATATACAAACATGGTGGTTTCCATTAGTTTGGAAAGAAACTGTGCCTCTACAAGATGGAAGATTCCTACAAAACATTAAATAAAATCAAAGTGGAGTGGGGTCTCATTATATCAAATATATGTCAGCTGACAAGGATAGAAACAAAGATAATATTTTTTCGAGAAAACGCAAATGGCCTTTGCGTTTCATTGCATTGGAAAGAGAGGGTATTTACATCCTCCTAGGAGGCGGTTTGTACACACAGACAACAGAGGCTCAGTGCACGTCCCAGGATGATGGCAAAACGACCCTGAGCCCTTGAGCTCCAGCCTTTGCCCAACATCTGGTCTCGTCTTTGATCCTGTCTACAAGCTCGTTCAGCGATGGGGACACATGGTCGAAAACACACGCATTTCTATGCTTCCAGATCATCCACGGTACCAAAAGTGCCACAGATTTGAGCGCCTTGCGGAGCGCTGGTGGTGTGCGTTCCTTTGCGCGCAGCCACCAATCCATGAGCGAGCCGTCGTGCTCGGGCGCCGGCGCCGGCAAGCGCAGCCAAGATAAGACCTCCTGCCATGTCTGTTTAGTGAATGGGCATGTGAGCATCAGATGCCCGATCGTCTCCGGTTCCTGATCGCACAGAAGGCACCGCGGGTGATGTTGCAGGCCATGGCGTGCGAGTCTCTCCGCGGTCCAACAGCGATCTTGACATGCCAGCCAGTGGAAGAATTTCACCTTGGGCGGTGCCCAGCTCCTCCAAATGAGCTTCCAGGAGTGGCAGCCCGTCGCGCCCTGGAAAGTTGCCCAGTAGCAAGACTGGGCGGTGTAGACGCCGCTGGCTGTCCAGCTCCAGAGCAGCCTGTCCGGCTCATTGGACAGCTCGACATGTTGCACTAAGTGCCAGAGCTGAAGGTACTGTCCGATCTCTGGGAGGCCTAGCAGGCCATGGATGTCACGTGCCCAACTATTGCCGGCCAGGGCCTCCGCCACCGTTCTGGATTTTTGACGTTGCTTGGGGATGCACTTGAGGAGTCTAGGCGCAAGCTCGCGGACGGATTGGCCACCAAGCCAGCGATCCTCCCAGAACAGGGCTGTCCTGCCATCTCCAATTGCCATAGTCGTGGAGGCGTAAAAGAGCGCACGCTCCTCCGTCGTAAATTGCGTGTCCAGCCCCTGCCAGGCTCGAGTAGTGTCCGTGCGCGTGAGCCATAGCCAGCGCAGCCGAAGTGATAGCCCCGTGCGCTCGAGGTCCCGGATGCCAAGGCCGCCATATTCAAGTGGCCGGCAAACCTTACGCCAGTTGACGTGGCAATGTCCACCGTGGGCATCCGCGCGGCCGGCCCAAAGAAACCCGCGCTGAATCTTCTCTAATTGCTTCAGGGTTTTCTTTGGGGGCGCAAGCGCTAGCAGTTGATGGATCGGTATTGCATTAAGCACCGATTTGACGAGCGCTAGCCGTCCCGCTTTGTTCATCAGCCAAGCTTTCCAGGAAGGCAGCCGGCCCGCCACCGCGTCGACGAGGGGTTGCAGCTGCGCTGCGGATGGGCGGCGAGTGGAGAGCGGGATGCCCAGGTAGGTAACCGGCAAGGCCACGACAGGGCACCCGAGTGGCTCCAGCAGCCCCACTTCGTAGTCGCCGGCGTGAAGGATCGTGGCCGAGCTCTTGGCGTAGTTCACGCGGAGCCCAGAAGCCGTACCGAACACGTCCAGGATGCCTTTGACAGCGGCGATCTCCTCAGTAGTGGCATGGCAGAACATCATCACATCATCGGCGTAAAGAGAGATCGCCGGGATGGCTCGTCGGGGATGCAGCTGCTGAAGGATGCCGGTCTGTAGGGCGTGTCGCATCAGTCTCCCAAGGGTGTCCACCGCCAGCACGAAGAGTTGTGGTGAGGTGGAGTCACCTTGTCGTAGGCCGCGCCGGTGCCAGATTGGCGGACCGGGAACTCCATTGATCATGACCCGCGTGCTTGCCGAGGAGAGCAGAATGGCCATCCACTCCCGGAATCGGTCCCCAAATCCATACTTGCGCAGCACCTCAAAGAGGAAGGGCCACGAGATGGAGTCGAAGGCACGTGTGAGGTCGAGCTTGAGCAAACAAAGATAATATTCAAATGAGACTTACTTTCTTTGCCCACCAAATGTGCCCCAATTGATTTTCTTCAAAATAGTTCATACTATTTGATAAGAACAAGTCATACTGATTGGTATACTGGCCCAAATGGACTGATGGAAATAGTGAGACCCCAGCCGACCTTAGTACTCTTACCATAAATGCAACATTGCACCGTCTGCAATCAACATAACATGACTTAAAAACATTGTTACAATGGACAAATGGAAGGAAAACACAATTGGGTAAGAAATTACCACGGTTAAGTTAATGCGGAGCTGGATTGGGTGTTCGGAACTGGTAAAAATGCGGTGCAGCTTCAGTAAGCCATGATGGTTCAATGGCAATTACATTACGCATATAGTGCTTGTCAGTTGAAACAAGAGACTGGTAGACGACCCACTTTGGATTAACCCTAAAATGTCAGGGCAATGTCATGAAGTCCACGAGGTGCATTGTTCCCAAAGAAGTGCATAAGGAGCTATACCACAGAGACACCCAAATAAATGTCATATAGTAAAAAATTGCTAAACTTACCTAAAGAGCACGGAAGATGGATGAATGTAAACTTCTTGTGACGTCCTAATTGTTTTATACATTCCATTCTGGCCATATTCCTGTGTAGCAGAGAAAGTCAGTAGGGACAACGGCAACTTACATGCCAATTGCATATGCAGCTGATAGCTGCACTTATTGAGGATAAATTAAAGAAATTGTGCAAGGGCACGTCACATCAACCACAAAAAAAAATTAGAGATGTATGATAAGATGAAACGAAGCTCTGGTTACGTGCTACATCCTAGAGATATATGATAACATGACATTTGCTCAATAATGTAATATGTGAGTAAATACCTCCAGATGACATGAATTAGCAAACGAACCAGCAATAATGGCCTTTCTAACTGCCTGCAGAATATTGAGATAACACTGCAGTTAGCATAAGTGCATGAAAGGTTCAACAACCTGTGGACATTATAACCGCAGCTCGTAAAGAAATGATTAAGGCAGGAAGTTCTAAGCATTTTCACCAGTACGTAGAACGAGTTGTAAAATAATTCTATAAGAGCAAGATACTGAAAACCACTAGTACAAACAATTAGTAGAAAATAGTCGTTAGACTATCTGAGTGGTAAATGTTGATACCTAACAGTCCAAAACTCCAAATTGTGCATTGTATGCATATTCTCCACAAATGAGGAGAAACAATGCCGGATTGGAATGTCATTGAGTTCTATGCGAATAAAGCTGGATATAGTCATTCCATTTCATAATAGCATATAATTTCCAAAAATGCATACAAATAATAACACAATCTGAAAAGCAAATGCATTTTCATTCAGTTATGGATATTACTGAAATGACCAACTTAATTAACAGGCAGCGGCCAAAATAATGTTCTTTTTTAAAGGATGTACGGATCATGGGGATAAGAGTTACTATTTAAGATTATTATTTTGCAGGACGGCATTATAGAAAACACTTGAAGTAGCCCTGGTACACACACAGAGCTTGGGTATAAGTTATCATAGACAAAATAATTGAAACTGAAAAGATCCTTGCGTCTTCGATGGGGCGAACCCAAACTGCCATTCACTTGCGGAGGACATATTGCTCGACCTTCTCCACCAGTTCAGACTTTTGGTTCTAATAGTTGGTGCATGAGACTTACTCCCTCCGTCCCATAATGTAAGACGTTTTTTGACACTTAGCAGAGCCAGGAGGTCTTGGCTTGGGTTCAAGTCTCACCTTTCGCAATTCAATAGAAGAATTGCTTGGGTTTACTGGATGGTGCATGAAACATAATATTTCGAAGCTGAGCAATGTAAGCTGGCCAGCACCAACTCCTTGAGGAGGCTACCGCTGCATTATAGGCCTCCGGACGTGATGGGCATGCCGTAGTGCTACGCTGTTGCTCCTTTTTGCCTTCCTGCTTTTGTAGCTTAGCGTACGTGGGTTTTGTTTTAATAGCCCAGGCTTTTGTTTCGGTGATTTTATTTGCCTTTTGTTTTCCATTTGGCCCTGTAAGTTCTTGTGCCTTCTGTGTGCTTCTCCAACTACAAAATGTTCGATGTGCGAGAAAAAAGCTGGAAAGATCCTACCTGCATATCTCTGTCGCAGGATTTCAGCTGTATGCCAAACCTCTTCACTACCCTGACAAGCTGTGCCCTGATTTCAATGACCTTCTTCTGCAGCAAAGAGCACAAAATGTTGTTCAAAATGGATGTGTGCAACAAGAATAGCATAGCTTTGGATATGCGCATATTCTTAATTAAAAAGAATGATGTCTTTAAACAACAAAAACAGACCAGTGCTTGGTGATTCAAAAAGTTCTTGTAACACCACTGACTAGATTTTCCAGACTGGTGAAATCCTTTGTAGATATTCAGGAATGTTACATGATCACCCTGGGTTACAACATAAAATACAAGACTCAAGACCATTGGCAAAGATGAAAAGGCAACCAAGAGCAAATATAATTAGGGCATCTCCAATAGTTGAATGATATATGTAGGTAAATTTTGCCACATAGGATATGTGATGATGTGGAATCGAAGGAGAGAGCAAACTTGTATGAACTTGAATCAACAACACTTGCACAAGCTCCAAGGTGAAAAGAGAGCAAACTTATTCATTATCTCCTTTTCTATTTAACGAATTAGATGCACTCTATTCAAATAGTTGTCTGATAACTTGTTGGTTGATGACATGGACAATTTTACCAACAATTTCGCACACAAGCTATTGGAGAACATACCTCTGAGTTCTGGCAGTTTGCACATGCATGTGCAGAACACAGAGAAGTAGGCTCCTAAATAGGGACGATGCTGGTCGTATGCGTTTTCACGATAAAAGTTCTTAAGTTTTGTTCCATAACACTAATCATGAGCTGCCCAAAATCATTTTTTCTAGAACTAGTCAGTATCACTAGTGCTAGCTTACTGCTTGTAAGCCCATAATGATCAATGATGAGAGTGTTTAAGCAGAATAACCATTAAGGATTTTGCTGAAATCTGAAAACGAGAGCAGTTGTTTAGTCTTTTGTCTATTTTAGGAACTTGATCATGAGTTAACTGAAATGAAAACAAGGATTATACTTAATAACATGATATTCCTCTACTGTGGTATATGGGTATCACATTTTGCAGCTGGCAACGCTAAGCACCAAAATGAGTGTCAATATTAATGGTTGAGTAGAGAACTGGGTGTCAACCCGTTTGCTAGATACGCGTGCGCGGCTGCACACCCAGCCCACCACCCACGTTTGAGCCATGTGCTCTACAGGGGAGTGCCTCACGATTGTCTTTCGTTAATAAAAAAAACAATGTCTACTCCCTGTTGGTCTAGTTTTCAAATATTAATAGCTAAAATTTCTGTAAAAAAAAAGCAGCAAAGTAACATCAGGGTTCCCGTGTAACCAAAGATATGAGGCAGCAAGTTGATCCTGCAAACCTCAGCAGCGGCAAACCGAAGTTTGGCCTCATCAAATTCCTTCTTCACTCCCCGCATAGAGACCCACACAGACTGTAAATTGGTGGTTATCAGAACAATCCAAAGATTAAAATAGCACACAAAAAATGAAAGGCATATCAGACAAAAATCCTAACCTGAACAGATAGAAATGCTGCTATCGTCAATATCTCATCAGAGCATCCAAAATCATTTGCTGACAAGATCATTTTTGAGATCATGGGGTCCTGCAGAAAATCAAGCAATATTGTTAGAAGAGAGCATTATTCACCAAAATGTAAGTAAACCAGATGTACATAAAAGACAGTACAAGTATAAATGTATAATTGAGTAGGCTTGCACAAGTATGGAAAGATATAAAATCCTGTAAGTAAATGGTCGACATAGCAGCATAATTTCATGTGCTATCAGAAAGTCATTGAGCACAGTCAGGAGAGTAAAACTGTATGCCTGATGGTTAAGTCGATAATTAAAGCATCATAAGAGCATAGAAACCCATCAAACAAGCAATCCATTTGTATTCACCTACTGTGGTCTGATTATGCAGTGAAAGTGCAATCAATAAGCAAGAATTGCAATGGTCACTCGGTCTGCTCTTTGTACTTCCTGACACCACAGAAACAATTATTTGAACAGCCTAAGACATTTTCTTAGTAATAGCTTTTTTGGGCTCTATAGTTGAAAGCCAGCAAGCGCTCATGGGTTTACCTTATAAGTAGGACTCTATTCAACTCTGACCTCTACTCTTTTTGTTTGCTGTAGATGTAGATAAGTAGATTATCATCCTTTTCCTATGATGCTCCACAATATACTACTTGCAGCATCGCTTATGGCTTGGTTGAATTGGTCCAGTCTTCAGGACTCTATGTTAGATCTAGGTAAGGAAGGAGTATTAGCTTCAATTGAAACTCAACCCTGATGATGGATTAGATGCAGATTGTATTGGCTTCTAGATCTACCTGTTAGGGTCGCCAACTGAGTTCCATGGTAATTTTTTAAAAACAATTTGCAAATGTTCCCGCAGTAAAAATTTATTTACAACAATTTATATGCAGATGTTCCCGCCGAAAAGCACAGGGAATCATCTAGTTTACATTGTTTTTAAGGTGGCCCTAAGGCAGCAGGGCGCCTTCCGGCGGCAAGGCGTCGAGCTCTTTGGCAGCTTCGAAAGGCGTCCGCCTTGGAGCTTTGAGGCATCTGGAGTGTCGCTTAGGCGCGCAAGGCACCGCATTGGGCCAAATCAGATGCCATAGTCAGAGTAGGCAGCAGGTAACTGAGCTCTCAAACTCGTGCGGGAAACTGGAGGGAAAGAGAGAACAGAGGCAAAATTACATGCGCAACTAAGGTGGGAAGGAGGGGGGGAGGGAATAAGACCAGTCCACACCAAAAGCTTGCGGAGAAAGAGTTTTCTCCTCTCTGGCGGCGACGGCCACTGCAGAGTGAAGAACCTCCGTTCGCAGCTTCAATCTGCGCCGCCAGCTTCTTCCACTCCAGTCTCAGCTGCTCCTAATCTGGTGCAGCCCTCTCCCAGCAGCGCGGCAAGATATGGATCCCATCTTATCTTCTTTCCCCCTCGTCTCACTTCTCACCGCCCTCCTCTGCTCTCCTCTCTAGGCAGCGGCCGGCGGCCAGATCCACCAGCTTCTTCTCCTGTCATTGATCCCCATCTGGCCCCTCCCCCCTCCTCTATCTTCTTCTCCCCGCCCTCCCTTGCTTCCATCCCCACCCGATGCTCTGTTTCTATATGTGCCTGGCTGATTGGCTGCCCTTTTTCTCCTCCACCTCTGCTTCTTCTAATCCGCATCTGTTTCTTCTCCTCCGCGTCTGCTTATGCTGCTTCTCCTCCGCATCTGGCTGAAGTTCAAGGGCGCCGTTCTAGAAGATGATTTGAGGCCTATGATTTGTTACATCTCCTAATTGGCTGCCATACATTATTATATATTTATGAGTGTAAAGTGGCACCTCACCTTACGCTCTTAAAAGCACCCCTCACCCCCACCCCACCCCCCATTTAGTACTTTATGATGTTCGTAAATTGTTCTCTTGCTCGCATCTAGGATAAACACATAAAAAAAGGGGCAGCCCGGTGCATGTAGCTCCCGCTTACGCAGGGTCCAGGGAAGGATCCGACCACTTTGGATAAACACATCAGGAAGAAAAACGTAATACAAGTTAGAACATCACACAATTACAGCCAAGGGGCATTACTGACTTTTTATCAGACAATTCAGAAAGTAAGGCAAGGGGGATAGGAGCCGAAAAGAACTGGACTAAAGTTTCTCTAGAACTTTTTTCGACCGCTGTTTCTGTGGGGTAACTCTGGTGAAGCTGCAGCTGAAAAGAACTAGCCACTGAAGCCCTTCGCCTGAGCGACTGTAGTCGTGGTGGGGCGACCTGCGTCTGGGGCGGTCCCCTACATCTTGGGCAACGAGGTGAGCTCGGATCCTAGATCCATACGTTGACGCAAACATGTGAACCACTCCATTGGCATCGCGTCGAAAACCCACTTGCCAGATGCTGAGTTGACTGGCAGTGTCGATAGGAAGCGCTGGCTGGTGAGGTTTGGACCTGGTGGCTTCAAAAGGACAGAGGTGACAGGTATCAGCACTGATAGCCTTAAGGATGCGGCGACAGAGCAGATGGTCAGATGGAATCATGGGGGTGGGGCTGCTTGGAGGACAATGGGGAAGCAAGGGACCACAGAAAGACTTCAGCTGCTTTGAAGTTTGTTTCATCGTTGAGATCGACATGGAGCTGTTATTATACGATGAATCTATGGGCCTAAAATCAAGTAACAGGAGTGTGACATTCTGGCTTAAAAGGAATGATAGACTACTCATATCAACAAGGTGCGCCTTCTTTTCCAGAGCTCAGCTCCAAACAACCTCTAAGTTAAGCGTGCTTGGCCTGGGGTAATTTGAGGATGAGTGACCAACCGGGAAGTTGTTCCCGGGTGCGCATGAGTGAGGACAAAGTGCGCAGGAAAGATCACTTTTGGTCTATTGGGACAGTCTAGATCCCAGGTGGTAGCCAGGCTTAACGAGGGGTTTGAAAAATAGTGTGGGATGTTGCACCATGTGGGGCAGAAAAAACGTGGGATTGTTTTTTTTTTTGACACCTGAAACAGTAGGAGTGTGTAATTAAATTAATGAATGAGTGAATTTACATATGATTTTGTACATGCCAGCCCCTTTGGGGATGGGGGGGAGGAGAAGATCAAAGAGTAGCTATAAAGGAAGTGAGAAATGAGGTGTGTTTTTCTCCAACCCTATGAGTTAGGAGAGAGAGGTCCTCTTTTAGCCTTGATATCCAGGATGTTTTCGTGGGTGTTATTCTTCTGAAAACCTTATTATTTCGTTCCTTCCAGATGCTCCATGTAGCTTGTAGGAATATTGCCATGAACATTGGCTTATTCCATGCATCCTTGGCTGTGCTTATCCAATCCAATCGTGAACCTTGAGCGCTCCAACTTATGGCAATATCAGACCAGCAGTCTTTGCTGAAGGCACAACCGAAGAACAGATGTTCAAGCGTTTCTTCCACGTTGGAATCGCAGAGGGGGCAAGTATAGTCATTGCCAGTGTTGAAATGTCTTCGCTTCAGCATGTTTCTGGTGTTGAGTCTGTCGGACAGGAGAAGCCACCCAAAGACCTTTATTTTCATTGTAACCTTAGACTTACAAAGCCAGGTATAAGCTTGATGGGCTCGGACCTCCCTGAAGTAAAAGTTAAAATATTTGTTGGCCGAGAACGTCTGGGTCGTCCAAGTGCAGATCCAGCTATCATTCCCCGAGAGGCTATCATTCAGTTGGATATCACGTACGATACTCTGAAGATCTCTAGTCTCTGCATGCGCCTGAACCGAGAGCGGCAGATGAAACGTTTCGTGTAAAGTCGTGGCGCCCAAGAAATCTCTAACGGAAATATCCTCCTGTGAGGCGAAAGAGAAAGCCCGTGGATGTGTCTCTGCCAGTATACCATCCGTCCAATGATCTTTCCAAAAGAGTATGTCCTTCCCCGTGTGGACTTGGGCTTTGGTAATCCCTCGGTAGATGGGCATTAGTCTCATGACATCCCGCCACCAAAAGGATCCGCACGGGTCAGCTGCATGGGGGATCTTGTTGCTATAATACGTGTTCCATATGAGATCCACCCAAGGCAAGTCCCATCTGTTCGGGAAGCCCATGCTGCTTGCAACCTTTGCTGCCTCGCTTCTGCGATCTCGGACCATAGCCCGCTGTTTCTGGACTGTGCCCCGGTCCCGGCTGCCCTTCGGCGTTTTCATTTCGAGGACTTGTGGTTGCGCATGGACGGCTTCCACGCGACGGTGGACACGGCTTGGAGGTCTGTGCATGACGTTGACCCCTTTCGCCGGCTGATGCTTCGCTTGCAGGCTACAGCACGCAAGTTGACAAGCTGGAGCTCACGATCGATTGGTAACATTAAACATAAGATGGCAATCTCGCGTGAACTCATTTCGCGCTTTGACAAAGCTCGGGAAGACCGGCAGTTGACGCCACATGAGGACTGGCTACGCAAACAGCTCAAGATCGGCTATCTTGGCCTCGCGTCCATGGAGCGCACATTTGCCCGGCAGCGCGCACGGATAGCCACTCTGAAAGATGGTGATGCCAGTACAGCCTTCTTCCACCGGCAATGTTCCTTCAGGCGGCAGAAGAATAGGATTTTCAGCCTGACCGTGAACGGCCAGGTGGTCACCGATCATGAGCACATGGCAGAAGAGGCATTCACACATTATGATGCACTGCTGGGCACCGCAGTTGACCGTGAATGCACGCTGGACCTATCAGAGCTGATCACGCCATCTGACCTGGCAGACCTTGATGCTCCCTTTAGCGCTGCAGAGATCTGGGAGGCGATCAAGCGGCTTCTGGCGCGCAAGGCACCCGGACCGGACGGGTTCACTGCCGAGTTCGTGCGAGCCTGCTGGACCACGGTACGCCAAGACTTTGTGGATGTCTTCCAGCAGCTCTATGAGATGAGGGGCCGCGGCTTCAGCAAACTCAACCAAGCGCTGATCACCATGCTGCCGAAGCGCGCGGACGCGACCACACTGAATGACTACCGGCCTATAAGTCTTATTCACCTAGTGGCAAAGATCTTCACCAAAGTGTTGTCCCTACGACTTGCCCCGAAGCTGGACAGCCTTGTGAGTCGGAGCCAAAAGGAGGATTGTATCAAAACTCCATCTTTTCAATGCAATGAAATGCAAAAGCCCTTTGCATTTTCTCGAAAAAAAGTCCCATCTGTTATAGAATTTGTGAAGGTATTTTAACAGGAGTGCATCGCTTTGTACTTTGAGGTTAATGACTCCGAGGCCGCCCGAAACCTTGGGTTGGCAGACCATGTCCCAAGCCGCCAGAGAGTTACAAGAATCACCATTCTCCGTTTTTTTGGTCCATAAGCATTTGCGTCTGATTTTATCCAGAAGTTCAATAATGCTCGCTGGCAACTTGAGAGTACAAAGAGCGAAGATGATTAGGGAGGTGATGACCGAGTTGAGAAGGGACAATTTTCCCCCATAGGAGATCATGTTGAGGGTAGCCGAAAGCCTGCGTTCCACCCGACAGACAAGGGGGAAAAGATCTAGCATAGTTGGCTTGGTTGTCCCCATAGGCAAACCGAGGTATGTGAAGGGCATTTTGCCCACCACACACCCGAAGATGGTTGCAATGTAGTTGTACGTGTCTTCATGACAGTTAATTGGTATCAAAGTTGACTTGTGGAAGTTTATTTTGAGGCCAATAGATGTTGCATAGTCCGAGAGAATGTCTTTAATGATCATTGCTTGCGTTGTGCATGCTGGCATGGCTAGGTGAAAGCCCACATGTCTCATTTGTGAGGAGGAGAGAAGGCGTGGATGAACAATCACCAACTTCTCTTTAATATTAAAGACACTTAAATTACTATTTGAACCTAGCAGATGGCAAGGCAAAAATATATCAGTGATATTTGTGTGTGTGTGTGTGTGTGTACATATATATATATCATGCATATCTTTTTTTCCTATTGGAATTATTGTTTCACTCAGGTCACACTGACATTAATTATGTTAGTCCTATTTAAATTTGAGTATCTTTCAAGATATGAGTATATGGCATAAATAATTCATTCAACCATGATTACTCTATCATGCTATAGTAGACTGAGATACTTGCTACATGACTTTCTTAAACCACTAGTCCAAATTCCATAGCCACTCAGTTACCGTCAAATGGGTTGTAACCATTTTTCTCGGTGGGAGCTGGCATGTCACTGGTCGGAATTTCAACTTTTCACGCAATATTTTCATGCTTGTGCAATTCTTTGCCATAAGTATCACATTAAATTCTAATATTTAGAGATAAACTGCTAAAATACTGAGGCTGGCTAGCGAATTTTCCTAACTCACACGCCCCAAACTCAGGAACAAATTGATTTAACTCGGCTGTCATGACAGGACTGCCTCATTAGTCACTACTACAGCAAGATGTACTCCTGATACTAGTTCAATTAGCCAACTGTAAAATGTTCTTGAAGAAACAAGAATAAGTACACTATCAGAAAGAGAAAAGGAGTAGTAAGATACACATACCAGAGGCATCTCAGCAACTTGGAAACCAATGGGAACTGTTAGTTTGGCATCTTCATCAAGGATTCCTAGTGAAAATAGAATTTCGAGAGCCCGAATCATTGCTTCTGGTGATGGAGAAGCTGGCCAATCAAACCCCAAGATGTTGTCTATGCCTAGCGCTTTCAACTGTCATCACAGAACATAACAAGTGATGTGTTATGTAATACTCGTAAATTTTATATTATGTGCAAAAACCTCAAGAAGATTTCACATCATATATGTCAGGAAATTAGATCAATAATATTCAGTTTAAAGGACATGTTTTGGTGCATACTTTTCAAAGAAACGTAGAGAGTATCTTCTATGAATTAATCCCTCCGTTCCTAAATATAAGTCTTTTTAAAGATTTCAATACGAACTAAATACGGATGTATGTAGACATATTTTAGAGTGTAGATTCACTCATTGCTCCGTATGTAATCCATATTGGAATCTCTAAAAAGACTTATATTTAGGAACGGAGGGAGTACATTTTTGTGGGCAGCTGGGGCATTTTCCAGGTTTCATGACTAAGCAAGTCAAGTGCATAAGTGAATCGTGCTGCATTGTCAAACTATTATGCATGATGCAGGAAATTGACACATTATTTAAAGTGAAATGCCAGAGGATTGTCAAAGTTAACAATAAATGCATAATATATACTCCCTCTGTAAACTTTTATAAGATCTTTTAGATAACTAAAGTAGTGATCTACACGATCGTATAACAGTTTACAGAGGGAGTATCTATCATGATTTTAATCACCATTGATTTAGAGATGTGAAGACAAGCTCTAACAGTCTAGCTGGTTAATGTGCTGATGAACACGGGAGATACTAATATATAATTAGTTTAGTAATATTGTTTTAGAGTCTTCATCTTCAATGTGCTAATTCTCTAGTAGTAACAATTAAGTCTTCACAATGACTGGTACCTTACTTTGTAAACTGCCAATTGGCATATCTAAATTTCAATACAAAGTAAAAACAATTCATATTAGTCGGCAACAAACAATATGTCATGCATATGTGTCTTCTGATATAAAATGGTTGATCTGCATATAAGGCCACAAACTGCGAAAAATGATTTTCGATTCCAGGCTCTAGTGAGTCTGTTTTTCCAAAAAAAAAAGAAGGAAAAATATCCAAGTGTAAAATAATTTGACATGTACATATAGATGTGATCTATGTACCTATAATTTCTCATGTAATACGCGTTGTTATGCATGTGTACACAAGAACAACATATACATGGATTTGAAAAGGACCCTCCTAACTGGCGAACGTTCGCCAGGGGAAGTGGCACATGCAAACGATTCGATGGCATTTTTAGTTGTGATGAAGTGGGGATAGGTGGCATTTTGTTCAGAAGACATGGCAGTTTCTCCCCGAGAAGGCAATTTTCGTTTAAAAACTGTCGTCTTTTGATCTCGTTTTACAACTAAAAGCTGCCAGCAAAGATGTTTCGCTTGCCGCCCCCCTTACAGAGAACATTCGCCAGGTACAATTACCATTTGAAATTAGCAAACAGTACACACATTGTTTGTTACTATAAATCCACGAATGTCTTTTTTGTGTAGCTCACATGGTAAAGTATTTTCTAATGGAATTTTACACATATGTAGAATACATCTATATACATATGAAATGGTTTTCACAATCTTTTGACACTTCTAAATATGAATTTCAAGTTTTCAAGAAAAAAGGCTCGCTGGAGCTCGGGCTCCAAAATGCCTCACTCCACAAACTGACATAAGTTCCCTTGTGCGGCATAAGCACCAAAAGGTAGGGTTTATCGATGATTATAACATTCAGCAAAAATCGTTCTGTTGGAAAAACGGCGTACTAAGAAATAATAATATGTTAATAACTGCAAGTTATGGTACCCTCCGTCCCAAAATAAGTGTCTCAACTTTAGTACACACTTTTTTTGGGACGGAGGGAGTATATGATATCTACTTATTTATTTTAATGTAACAATAACAATCATGAAATAGATGGGCCAAGATACCTGTATTATGCAGGAAACAAGGTTAGACCTTTGCATTTCTGGAATGCCATCTGACTGCATTTCACTTAGGTAATATTCCTCTGTGTAAAGCCTGCAGGAAATATTAGCTTATAATATGAACAAAGTGGTAAAATACTAAGATGAATAATATTACAGTCTGCAGAATACTGGATCTACAGAATTTATAATGCATGAATGTTTGGCTTTCAAAATATTCAAAACTAAGCGTGTTAAAAAGAAAAACAATACTAAATAAATAAAGCAATCAACAAAGAAACTATTTGAGTTGAGAACTAGGAATTGTGAAAATGGACCAGCATAATAAATCAAGGACTGCCATAAAAGAGGAGACGTAAATTAACAATCCCAGTCCCAACACTTCAATAAAAAACTGCTCAACATACCTAAAGCATTTCCCAGGTCGCACCCTTCCAGCTCTGCCTGCTCGTTGCCTTGCAGAAGCTTTAGATATTGGTGCGACAACTAGACTCTCGAGGTCAGAAATCTGCACAACAAGATATAGAGTTAAGCTACAACAAAGAAGACTAAACATGGCAAAAGAACTACACCAAAAAATTTGATCTCAGATATAACCGCCCTCTAGCTCAATAGGGAGTGGGAGACTTGGGGTAAATGCCACAGTGCATGAATGTGTTAACACCTAAGTATGCCATAAATAACAACAAACTATTGAACAGATCCATAAGTAAATAAAGAGATGGATCCTGAATTAACTCATCTGGATTTATTTTACGCATATAGGTTTGTACTGGATTGCCAAATCAAGGATTTCCTGATAGATGTACAAGGCACTATACAAAGATCATTGCAGCTGTTGGCATTCAAGTTTCAGGATTCACAAAGAAACACTATAAAGAAGAAATAAAAGCAAAGCTATATCCAGGTCAGCCAGATTGAAGTACTGCAATGGGACAATAGAATGTACCGGGTTATAGCACTTCTGCTTGGAAAATCCACTATCAACAACGTACACCACGCCCTGCAATTTAGAGAAATTAGTGACAGTCAAATCATATTTGCTAGAAAAGACATGTCACATGTGGTACCTCCAGAGTCAATGATGTCTCAGCAATGTTTGTTGATATCACAACTTTTCTTTTCCCTTTGGAAGTAGGAACAAAAATGAGATCCTAGAAAGCCAACAAATACTAAATAGCGTCAACATGGAGTGCCAACTATATTCTTCTTATAACACTACTGAGGGGGGCCACTTACTTGGTCTCCCCGCGGAAGGCCGGAGTACAAAGGCAAAATCACCAAATCTGATAATCAAAGCAATCTGAATGCCTTAGAAAACATAATTTACCACCACAAACTTATATCAAAAGTGGCAAGGACGACCTATTTCATTGTTAACATTCGGAAAAAGGAGTTACCAAAATAGTGTTTTCCCAGATGTTGAATTTCATCATTTAGCAACTTAAGAGCAGCATCTATGTCATCCTGGCCAGTTAAAAACACCAAAATATCCCCAGGTGGTTCCTGCAGAAATTAGTTAATGAGTGGAGATAAAAGAAAGCTATCCAATATTGGATGATTGGAAGAGTTCTTTTACCTTCAAAATGGAAATAAAATATAGGAATAGACACTACCATTACACTACAAAGATGAATGATGATAGCTCCAAATTCACCTCAAGGACTACATGTCTACAACATTATCAAAAGGAACAGAAAAAATATGTCTGTTTATATGATGGACATTGATCATGTCAGCTTTGCTTCCATTAACAAATTTCTCTGAGATTATAAACTAATGTTGAGAAGTGATGCAGACGAGATGCTTACTGCAGTGGAGCATCTAAATCTTAATACACTTGCTATTTGTTTCATAAGAAGTATAGCATATGAGAAATAAATAATAACTGTCAAGTCATGCGATACAACGAATCAACGGACCAGAAAAGTCAAGTGTAATCTCGGATATAAGGAAACCAAAAGTTCCCAAATGATCAAATGCATTTTAAGAAGCATAACAACCTACATGGAATCTATTGTTTGACACACCATACAAAACAACTAACCTTTTCGTGAATAATAAGAACAGTATTCACAGCAGCCTGTAAGTAGTCTGAGACAGGTTCTTCTAGATAATGAGTTTCTACTGTATATCCTCTACCCTGTAGAAGCATAACCAATTTACTCTCATCAATAAGGAGGAGAACCCTTCACCATCTATATATTTCAGCCACAAGGAAAACGTACTTCAACAGAAAGTATAGCAGGTTCTGGGTTCGGCAAATCATCAGCAGGCTTGAGCAATGAATTCTTCCGCCTGTCCATGAGAGAAGATAAAAGAAGATTCAAAGATCAGACCCTAACTAACTTGCTAGCGCAAATGGTGTGCTTATAGAGTTAACAACTGTGTCTTCACAATTTGGTATTGTAGATGTTATATATTATTCTATAAACTTGGTCGAGATTAACAAAGTTTGACTTAGGACAAAGCTTATATGCCTTACATGTTGGGAAGGAGGGAGTACCACGTAGCGACTTCCTGAACAATGTAAACCATAATGTTACCAAGAATTGGGAATAATTTGCTACCATGGTTGATGGCTGAAGAAGATGTCTTATAGGTTTTACTATAGTTGAGAAGCAATTGTTGCTTCTTTACTGGCTAAAGAAGATGTCTTATAGATTTACTATAGTTGAAAGGCAATTGTGCTTCTTTACATAGACCAGCTTTCTGACTACATCACTTTCTTGAGGATTCCTGGTAGTCGCACTGTACTTCTTTCTCTTGGGGAAGTTACATGGCAATGAATTGCAAAAATGAAAGGATATGAAACAAATTCTTACTAGACAGGGACCAACCTATTGCTGAAAAAGGCTGACATTGATCTTGCTTCAATTGTTGCAGAGGAAATGATTAGGCGTAACTCCGGCCGACGGCGTTGAATCTGGTCAATTGATGTAAGGAAACATGCAAAGCAGGAAAGTAAACATTATTCACAGATGACTCGAAGAGAAACCAGACTTGCGGATTCAAATTGCAAACCTTTTTCAAGAGTCCCAGCAATATGTCGGTTGAAATGGATCTTTCATGAGCTTCATCTATCATAATGACACTAATAAAACAGAAAATCATGGATTGGTATGTGAATAATCAATAATGTAAAACTAGTATGGAACCGTCCGACTGAAAAAGGTGTTTTTACTCCACTACGATTATCACCAGTTCACCACAAATGTGTAATCACAACATCGAGATAAATTTTATCAAACATGATGTGCGACAATTAGGATTGCAAGCTTAAGGTCATACTAATATTGAGGGTTATAAAATGGCACCTATATTTGCTCAGAAGAGGATCTTCCATCATTTCTCTAATCAGTACTCCATCTGTGAGAAATTTGATCATGGTCATGCCCTGTCAAACCGTTTAGGCATAAGCAGAGTACATAGGGATGAAACCCATTAGATCGAAAATGTGTTTCATGCTGTAGAATTCAGACAAAGAAAACCAGTGCAAGGAGAAAAACTTAGATCATACCGGGTTTGTTTCATCCTCAAATCTTATTGTATATCCTACTTCTTCTCCAAGTTTCACACCAACTTCTTCAGCTACCCTTGATGCAACCGTCTGTTCAAATTATTAAGATGGGTTGAAAAGGGAAGTGGTCACAAAAAGATAGGCATCTACAAATGTAGTCTAATAGAAAAGAAAAATTGAAACATACGAAAATTAGTAATACCAATGCAGTAAAAAAATTGTTCAGCTACCATCTTCTAAGCAGTACAGATATGGTTCTATCAGCTGACTGCTCTGTATATGATGCCAGAAATCACGCTGAACCACATGAATAAAGTTTTCACCCTTCTCTTCAATGCAATGAAACGCAAAGATCTTTGTGTTTTCTCGAAAAAAATGCATTTCAATGTTGGATTGTCAACCATCTGTTCAATGTTAAGATACATAATTTTGCAGGATGCAGTCCCCTGTTACAGGCACACTTTTGGACACTACGGCCACTACCACATGGCAACCCTGTCACAAACGGCTAGGTCACAATGGGGAAGCTGGATAAACCTCCATGGCTGAGGCCTGAGAAAGTCCTCCAGGCTTATCTTTTAGGAGTTATCTATCTCTAATCATTTCTTTTTCTTAGATTCATATTGCTAGGATTTGATTTGCTACAAATTTAGCATGGACTTGAAGCTATATATAAAGAGAGGTAGAATGTGATAGGAGAACATCCAGAAGTAATACAGAAACTTGCTCTAGATAATTAGCTAAGAGCCTTACTCGCCATGCTAGGGACGTACCCAAAAGAACAATCTGGTGCATGCTCTCAGCAGAAGGTAAAAAGAGAAACCTAGTATTACATAGCATCTAGATTAGGATACACAGCTTGATGAACATTTAAACATTTGATACCTGCACGGCCAATCGTCTTGGCTGGGTGCAACCTATAAGTCGACCACCCTCAGCCCAACCAGCCTCCTTAAGATACTGGTTCATAATACAATGAAATTAGAAACGAAACATCATCTGCAAGTAAGATAATGAGATAGGCAATAGGCATAAGAGCTACAGATGATGAGATAGGCAATAGGCAGAAGAGTGACGTCTGTGGCTTACATTTCTTTCAAATAATACAAATTGGCATTTTCACCAACCAAACTAAACTTTCCGTTCAACCTTCAAGTATGTATGTTGAAATTCAAAAGCTGGAGGAGATCCGGAGTCAAATTGAAATATATGTGCGACTAAGCAAACTAATTTGGTTTCAGCATGGAGTCAAATTTCAATGTCAAACAATATACAGAATAAATTACAAAGATAGGTCTCAGTTCAGCCTACCTTTATAGAACCTTTCAAGCCAAATTGAATGTTTGTTACGATACAAATTATTATGAGGTAGGAAGCGTGTGTTACTGCTCTCAATGGAAATCTCTTTCTTCCTCTTGAAAGATATAAGTCGTGAAAAGTTTTACAGCAGTACAGCACCCAAAGAGGCCAAGACTCTGGATAACTTTTGCAATATTTTCTTGTGTTGATTTAAGCGCTAGAAAAAATGTCTGCATGATTGTGCCCAGCATTGAGTTTGCATTGTATTGTAGTGATATATTCTCCCTAAAACTGAACGCATATTACCATGACAGTTGCCAGATAGGCCATAAACACGCCAACACAGCAGCCATATAAATTATTTACCAGATGGTAGCTTGAGAAGAAACAGAACTTTAGCTGGAGAGTAATACTTCAAGTGAGGAGCCAATATATGAGCAGGAGATAAGTGTAAACCTCATGTAAGAGCTGCTGACAGGTATGCAGGTACGTTGGTGATCTATTTGGCGAAGTTGTAAACAGTGTTTCACCTCTCGTTATTTTTATTCTGTCCCCTCGCTCCTCTTCTCTGATAATGCCCGTAGGTGTCATCCCTAAGCCATCGTTCATGCTTACTATCCTACTGCGAGAAGTCTTTTATGTTGATATATATTGCTAGGTGTGGGCACACAATAGTACATACCAACTGGAGGCCTCGATCAAATGCAGGAAGGAGGAACCATCACTACTACAAATTTAAGCCAAAGCCCGTGATCTCGCCCAGTCAATAATCCAGAGCATAGAACATAGTAAACGCGCGGTGCTTGTTGGAATCCAAACAGAACAACCACCAAATATGACACCAATGATGCACACTGTCGGTTGAGCACTTCGCGCGTACACGCACACCAGTTGTTCGGCCGAATGCCCCCGACAGAGCGCAGCACAGAAACAAATCCTCAAATGATCTAGGGACCCGCACTGGCTGTACGAAAAAATCGCCTGGAGGAACGTACCTGAGGGATCTGCGTGGACTTGCCGCTACCCGTCTCGCCGACGATGATGGTCGTGGCATGCCGCTCCACCAGGTATAGGATGGCCTTGCGGTACTTGTACACCGGCAGCCGCTGCCTCAGCCTCTCCAAGGACGCGCACCCAAACCTACCACCAAGAAAAACAGAGGCAGCAGCACCCCGACACAAGTTTAGGAACCTCAGGTAGGGGAGCGCAGAGGAGAAGGGAAGGAGGCAGAGGGTTTAGGGTTTGAGTGAGCGCACCCGGAGGAGGAGGAAGAAGCGTTGGTGTTGGTGGGGAGGAAGAGGACGCCGCCCTCCTCGTCGTCGACGAGCGATGCGCTCGGCTTCTCCGCCCCAGGTCTCCAGAATCTCGACATGGCCGCCGGTTCGGGTGGCTCGGCAATGGCGGGGGTGGTGGTGGGGGGGTTGGAGAGGAAGCGGGACTGGTGGTTGTTCTAGTGGGCTTTAGAGGCCGTCGCTGATGGGCTACAGGTCCATTGCTGGACAATTTGATTCCCTCATTCGCAACAGTCTTTTTTCAGAGAGTCCCTGTCGGACGCCCGTGTGCGTCAAGAAGCTCTTCTGGCTGGCTTCGCATAGGGTCCATCCAACTGGGCCGGCCATTTGCAGTTCAAATAAAAGAAACGTACTGTGGAACATTATAGCGGGATTTTTTTTTTGAACATCAGTACAGACGCAAAGCGCTCATATACACGCGCACACACTCATCCCTATGAACGCACACCCTACCCTTATGAACACCTCCGAAAGACTGAGCCGGCATATCATCTTGAGATTTACGAAGTCACCGTAGTCACCTGGTCGTCGACGGGAATGTCTCCTCCCATTGAATGTGCATCGCCGGAAATCCTGAAATAAATCCAGAAATAAATGCGAGCACCAGGATTTGAATCCTGATGTGTTGGGGATACCACAGTCCCTCTAACCATCCAACCACAGGTTGGTTCGCCATTTGGGCAATTTAATGGGCACCGAGAAAAGCTCTCCATGAGGCGATTTCCCAAAGTCCTGGTGCTACACATCAATTCATATGCAGTTACTTGAGGGAGCTTGATCTTATGAAGTTGAACATCCCAAGCAGACCTGCAGCCGCTGGACGAGCTACTATACGCCCACAAGCTCCACCCACTGGGTATGCCAAGATCCACATTGATGCAAGTATTGCAAGAAACCAGATGGTAGGGTCGGCAGCGGCAATTTGTAGAGATTCTGAGGGTAACTACTTGGGAAGCTCGGCTCTGGTGGTACATGGAATATTAGATGTGGCCACGATGGAATCCATATCATGCCGAGAGGCTCTAGCATTGGCAGATGGTTTGGTGCTACATGACTTCATCGTCGCATCTGATTCAAAACAAATGGTGAGTGATATTCAGAGAGGAAGCAATGGTACTTTTGGCACCATCATCACTGAAATTAGAAACATAGCTTCTTTTGTTTAATTCCTATTTTACTTTTCAAGGCCGATCAACTAATAGCGAAGCCGATAGGTTAGCCAAGTTTTCAAACACTTTAGATCAGGGGCGGCATGTTTGGATGATCCATCCCCATGATCCTTTTGTAATCCCACTCCACGTGGATTTTGCTTAATAAAACTTGGCGATACCCCTAAAAAAATTGGTCCACTATAGCACCATGTTTTTTTGCTCGAATTTTATTTTCAAATATTTTGAGCATATGAATATATACGTTGAAAATAATTTCTAAGACACATTGAACATTTTTAATGTATGTTGAACAATTTTCAAATATCCATTGAACATTTTGTAATATACATTGAACAATTTTAATATGCATTGAACATTTGTGTAATGTACATTGAACAATTTTTTAATACACATTGAATATTTTTTATAATATACACTGAAAACAATTAAATATGCAGTGAGCATTTGTATAATTCGTTGAACAAATTTTTAATATGCGATTGTAGCGACCAGACCTCAAACGATCTAATCTCTGTGCTCAGGTGTCATTCCTGGATCAATAATACTGACACCACACAGTACTTGAAGGATTTATAACAGAATAGCAATCACACAGTTATTACATCGAGTGTCTCAAAAGAAAACTTGTTACAATAAATATGGCTTAAGGCCATCTAATAACGATAACAGCGGAAGGCTTGGAAGATAAGTGCTACTGGAAAACACCGGCGGATTCAGCATAAGAAAATGGGCTAAGTGATCAACAGGTGGTGGTGGTGGTGGGTTGTTGTTGTTGTTCCCCTGATTCTGATTCTGGACTAGCAACTGCATCAATGTGTTCTGCTGCTGGATCAACTGGGTGAGCTCCGGTGAAAAGGTAAATCCGGAGTCACGTCTCGGAGGCATCTGGGGTTTTAGAAAAGATGAGATTTAAGAATAGAGGGGGTCTAAAGAGAAAACACTACCCATATGCACATGAGGCAAAAGCAAACAATTCACTTTATTCAATTAATCAAACAAGGGCATACAATTGATCTAACTATCGCAAAAGTGCTCGGGCTACTATATTTACATGGTGGACTACTACTACTGATGAGGTGGTCTACTAGAAATATTCTTCGGTTGCAGACTCCATTATATCTGCTCCAGCTCATCAACATAGTCATCATCGCTATCGTCTGGATCCGAGTCGGTGTCATCAATGATGATGTAGTCTTCCGGACGAATATCCTTGGGTTCTTCGTCTTCTTCTACTGGCGTAGGGCCTTTCATAAATATTCCAATCTTCATTGTTAGGTCGGCATTCTTGTCCACTAATACTTTGATTTCCACTTCATAATCTTCACGTGTAGCCTTGAGTTCTTCCTCCAGTTCCTTGATTCTTGTCCTCGCCTTCTTCAGATCTATCATGTCGGCGCACATTTGGTTCTCCTGACGTCGAATGTGCTGTTTTAACTCCTGGATAAAAGCTGCAACTGATCTATCCTTCCTGGTGCTGATCATCTCCCAGTGCTCATCTCGGCGCCCACAAATCTGGTAGATAGTATCCTTAAAATCATTGCGGTAGACTTCTCCAATACGTCCCATGGCGATGTGAGCTGCCATGCTCTTTCCTAGACTCCAAGTTGGTGCATCAAAAGAAAACTCTATGGGCTCAGTGACTGGCTTGAATGTCCTTACTGGAACTTGTACTTGAATCATCCAGTGCTCTTCTTCAGGTAAAGCGGCATTGTAGGTTCCGATGAAGCTTGGTACTCCTATGTTCAGGTATCTAGTGACTTCCTTCAAGTGACATCCAAAGGGTGTATCTTCCTCCGGTTGAGTGAACTTGTTCCTTGCATCCATCATCCTAAAAGAGTAGAAAAGATGAGAAGTCGGAAAGAGAAGAGAGTGAGTAGTGATCTAGGTCTTTAGCTTAGTGGTCGTGCCCTACAGTCAACGTGTACTCTAATACCATCTTGTAGCGACCAGACCTCAAACGGTCCAATCTCTATGCTCGGGTGTCATCCCTGGATCAGTAATGCTGACACCACACAGTACTTGAAGGATTTATAACAAAGTAGCAATCACACATTTATTACATCGAGTGTCTCAAAAGAGAACTTATTACAATAAATATAGCTTAAGGCCATCTAATAACGATAACAACGGAAGGCTTGGAAGATAAGTGAGTCCATCAACTCCAACGGCATCACTGAGTATAGAACCACGACCCTAAAACTCCTTAATCGTCGTCTGAAAAGTCTGCAACATTAACGTTGCAGCCCGAAACGGGTCAGCACATGGAATATGCTGGCAAAGTAACACATAGAGAATAATGGAATGAAACAGGCTATTCTATATGCATATTTGGCTGGTGGAAAGCTCTATGGTTATATTTTTGGGTAAAGTCAATTTTTCCCTACTGCAAAGGAATATTTATTTAACTATCATGGTAGTTGTTAAACATTGAGAATGGTTGACAGCATTCTCAATCCCAATTAAGCATCATCATTAAACAAACCCAACAAAATTAATTTTAGAGAGTAACATGTTGAGATTCACATGATAATTCAGGTACTAGATACTCAAGATGTCCATAACTAGGGACACGGCTAATCATGATTAGTTTATACACTCTACAGAGGTTTGCGCACTTTTCCCCACAAGACTCGATTGCCTCCGTTTGGTTTCTCGCACTGCATGGTGTTTGAGAAGACGGATGACCGAGACATAGTCTTTCAGAAGCGCTAGCACCTTACGATTGGGTAGACCGTTACACCTACTTTCCCCTACATCTGCTAGTCTACCACTGTAAGAGTTCGCACAACTTAGTCAACTATGCTAGAGCCCATAATAGCTTGTGGTTGCACACGGAAGTTTCTAGCATGAATAATCTCATGATCCCTTTGAGCCTGGGTGGCGGTCCAAAAGAAAAACAGGCAATCACTGGAATACCCAGGTGCCTCAATTCACCCAGATGTGTATTTAAGTTGCCACCTTAGATAAACCATTAATTAACAATCTTAGATCTGTCATGGAAACACTCACCAAATCCACGTCTACTAGCATAGCATTGCATAAATAAGCAAACGTAGAAGCAACTCCCAAAGGTTTGATAATAACAGGTAATAGGTTCTACCTCATCTACTTCCCAAACCCACAATTTAATTAGATCATAATCATGCAATGTGTGAGGATTGATCTAATGCAATAAAACTGGGTAGGGGGAAAACATGATCAAAGTGTTACTTGCCTTGCTGATGATCCAGGAAACCTAGCGATTCGAAGTAGCAAGCGGCGCACTCCGGGTACTCTATCGCAAACAAACAAGCGTACAATAAGTACTCAACTAATGCACAGGTAAAACTCAAAAAAGAGATCTAAACAGAAAGTTCAACTTAAGAACTCCGGTTGGCAAAAAAAATCAAATCGAACGAAGCAACGAAAGACAAACGGCAAAAGAAACAAGCTTCGTTTACTATTCTGGATCTAGGACAATTTTTACAGTGGCAAAAACTTGTTTGAGTTGGTTAAACGAAAAGAAGGTTTCGAGACGAAACTCCAAGCGCTTGAATCGCCTGATTCCGATAAACGAGCGAAAGGTTAGACTAAAACGAAAATCAGATCAGAAATCGCGATCTGAAAAATCACAGATTTAATCCGAAAAAAAGAAAAACGATGAACGTCCGTTAAAACGAACGAACGGGTGAACGCTTGCTATTTAAATAAACCGGAAAAACCGATCTATTTAAATAAATCCGAAACTAAAAAAACGAACAAAACCGTCGGAAAACTGAACGGTTTTTCGGGAAAAACCAGCGGCGGCGTGGTCTACCTCCGGCGACAGATCCGGCGGGCGGCGGCGGTCGGCGGCGGCGCGGGGCGACGCAGCGCGGCGGTGGCGGCGGCGCAGCGCGGCGGGGCTGGGGCGCTAGGGTTTGGGAGGT